TATATATATATATATAGGGTGACTAGAAATAATCAAAAAAATATTTCATGAGCAAGTAGAGCGGACTAAACTGAGTCGAAAAGTTCTCTATCTCATTTTGTAAATTTCATCAATAATTAATGAGATATTAATCCTTAAAAATAACCGAATACACGCGCTCTCCAGGACTACTCCTACGAAGTGTATGCCTACCGATCGTTTGGCGTGAGGGCCTTGAGAGTTGATTGACTGGCAAGCGCCCCGCCGCGCACACCGCCGTAAGCCTCCGTAGCTCGGACGGCGCGCTTGCCAGACTATTCCCACTCTTCGCGTGCCAAGCGATCGGTAGACGTATATATTTCGCAGTAACATTATAGTACACCCTATATACTATATAATTTAAATATAAAATCCATATACATATTTATAAAATAGATTCTTCTTTCAAAATCAATTCTATAAAGTATTAAAAAATATAATCGATATAACGGTTGTACCGTTCTTAATTTCCGTTCGATATAAAAATGGCAATCATATAAGAGAAATCGAGGCCTTGAATCACAAAAATTCAAATTCTTAAAATTTCTCTTTCATCAAATATAAAAATTTTTGTATTATTTTTTAAAATAATTAGAGTATAATGCATATTTTAAAATTTAATAAGTATATTTAATCAAAAAAACTTAGTTTTTAAGAAACTTAGTTTTTAAGAAAAAAATAATATATTTTTTAAGAAGTGATGCCCATGATGCCTCATACCCGGAGAGAATCATAAGTCACATACAAAATAGTAGAATTATGCAAGAAATAATAGTGACGAAAGTTGAACAGTTGAAAGTTTTCAATTAACTTGTACATTCTTAGCATAGTCACTAATATTATAAAATATAATTACAATAATTATTAAAAAATACATTAGAAAATTATAAGAAAACAAATGAGAAATAACTATTAATATAAGATAAAAAAATTTATTATGATAAAATTATTTGCTTAGAATATAAACTACCCTTTTAATATATATGCATTCTATATTATATTACCTAATTTCATTATGAATATTTAATGCAGAACTTATAGTACCCCAATTATACATATAATTATATATTTAATAAAAAATAAATGTTAGATTATTACTTGTAACGTAGTAAATTGAGAAAAAATGTGCAGAAAATTGTATTTTATCTACATGTATCTTCTATTACAAAAATAATATTAACATTTTTTTACAGTTGAAAACTATTGCACCATGAAAATCTTTAATGATCGATACAATAGAATTTAATTACTTCCATCGAGATAAAAAATACGAGCAATGAAATAACAGTCGTATTGTACCAGTAGCATTAATTTAAACATTCTAAATTATGTTATCAATCGATGACATCATCAGACACAATCTAGAATGTTTAAATTAATACTACTCGTGTCTCGATTTCCCCTTTTTGTAAATCTTATATAATAATTAAAATAAAAATCGATTGAATATCGGTTATATCGGTATTCACATCTAGCAATTTACATTTAACTGGTATAATCAGAATGATTATACAGGATATCTGGAAATTATCGCTAAATATTTCAAGGGCAGATAGACCGGAGTCTAAACTGAGTCGAAAAGTCCTCTGAAAGTCATTTTGTAAGTTTCCCCAATAATTAATGAGATATTAATCTTTAAAAATAACCGAATGCTACTATGAAGTGTATACGCCTACCGATGCGACCTTGATGCTTTTATCTTAGCATTGATGACACTCAACTATACAAAGTTCATTTCACATTCAATAAGAGACATAATTATTCATAATTATTCATAAAATTTTAACGATAATTTTTATATAATTTTATATAATTTTTATATAATTTTGTATTAA